ATTATAAATCATATGTTGTTGTTGATTGCCTTCGAGTAGAACACAACTCATAGCAAAAGCCTTGAAACCTCTCTACACCTATCAACATTTCTCACAGTTCATAGAGTTTCTGGAGGCCTGTTGTTTAGGAAGTGGATGCAACTCCTGCTTCCAAGTAAATCATATATATAGTGTTATTGCTGAATGGCACCATCAAGTCAGCTCCAACTCATAAGAACCATACATACAACAGAACAATCTCTGCTCAATCCTGTGCCATCCTCAGTCTCTGCTGCTCTTAAACTGAGCATTGCAATCACTGTGACAATCCATATTATTGAAGACCTTCTTCTTCGCCACTGACCCGCCACCATTCCAAGGATGATGCCTTCTTCCAAGCATCTGGTACCTTCTGATAACATGCCCAAAATATCTGAGACAAAAAATAAAAGGACTGACTGCACTTCAAGACCACCAGCTGCTCTGTGGGAGAAGGATGGGCAGTCTCCTCTCATGCTATTAACTGCCTACGAAAACCTGCCAGAGAGTCAGCTATGAGCCAGTTCCGATGGTACACAACAACAACATTCATTGTATGTGTATGCTGAGGAAATCCTCCACGTAGCTGAACTTAATGGAGGAGAATGTAGCATCAAGATTGAAGATAGACTCATCAGCAACCTTGCCTGCAGCAAGTGAGGAGGACTTAAAATGCTTACTATAGAATATCAGAGACTACAGCATTCAATATGAATTACATCCCACCATCAAGAAAACAAAATTCCTCACAATTGGACCAATATGGAAACATCATCATAGATGGAGTAAAGATTAACGTTGTCAACAATTTCATTGTACTTGGATTCATAATCAATACCCAAGGGCACAGCAGTCAACAAATTAGAGGACATGCTACATTGGGGTAATCTGCTGTCAAGAACCTCTCCAGAACACTAAAGAGTAATGGCGTCAGTTTAAATATCAAGGTGTGCCTGATCCAAGCCATGGTCTTCTTAATTGCTTCTTATGCATCTGAAAGTTGGACAATGACTAAGGATGCTGGAAGAATTCGTGCCTTTGATCTGTGATGTTGGGGAAGAATACTGAATATTCCATTGACTGACAAAAGAACAAGCAAACACATCTTGGAACAAATGTAAGCAGGGTTTCTCTTAGGGACAAGGATGATAAAACTTCATCTCACTTTGGGCATTTTGTAAGTAAAAGCCAGTCCTTGGAAAAAGACATTATACTGGGAAAGGTAAAGGGTGAGAGAAAGAGAGCAAGACCCTCAACAAGATGTATTGGCTTGTTACAGTGACTGCACAATGAGCTTGAGCATTTTAGAATTAGTGAGGATGGTACAGGAAAGGGCAGGGTTCAGATCTATTGTTCGTAGGGTCACTATGAGCCGTAGTGAACTTGATGATACCTAACAACAACTAGATAGATAGATAGATAGATAGATAGATAGATAGATAGATAGATGATAGATAGATGAGAGAGGTTCAAATTCACTGTTGTCAAGTCAGTTCTAACTCATAGCAATCTTCTTTCAAATTTACAAGTTTATAAATCTTTACAGAGGAGACTGCTAGTCTTTCTTCCACAAATGGTAGAGTCAAATCCACAGAAACACAGCCTTTTTTATCTATCTCTTTCTTTCTCTTTCTTCTTTTTCCCTCCCTCTCTATATTTTTTCAGCCATATTGACATTTATTAGTGAGTTAGTTTTAATTATGGAAGAGCAAGCACTATGCCAATTCAAGGAACTATGAATCTCAGTCAATAGTAGAAATTGCTGTTGTTCAGTACAATTAGTCAGATAGAACTAATGGTGACCGACCCTACACATACAACACACCCAAAGCTTGCCTGATCCTGCACCATCCTCACAAGCTTGTGTTTTGCTGACTATGTAACGATATCTGACTGTGTGGATCACAGTAAACTGTGGGTAACATATTTTGGGAGAGCATAGAATGATCTGGTATAGGACAGAGAAGAGACGAGAGCATCTACAAAAGCATATGTTCTTTTGGTTATTGTATAAATGATTTGCCTTTTGTTTTTATCTCACTTGCCTCTAACAACATGTCTATCCGCTTAGTCTATCATCAGTGACATTTTACTGTGATGGAATTCTCTATACCACCTTATCCCTACCTCTTGGATAAAACTTTAGATTAAACCATGAGGCCCCGTTTAGAGATTGAACAACCAACGCTATTCTCTAAATTTACAAATGAGGACAGTGCAAAGAAGAGCTTGTGTGTCAGGTCATAACTAAAAGCTACTATTATTATCAGTTCACAAGATTTTCACAAGGGTTTCAAAAATCACTCAGCTCACCAGATTAATATGCAGACAGAAGACAGGGTTTGGGAATGTTCAGGATTTCTATCACCAGCACAAACTTGCACAAAGAGTCATAGGTGAGGATGGTGATTGGTGGTGCATATCGCTGACATGTGCCTGATAATTCCTACGATGGCCAACAACATGGTTGCTGTGAATGAAAAACCAAGACCCTCCCAGAAAGTCCAGCAGAAATAGGATTTTCATTCAGATATCGAAGGGCTGGCTCCATAAAGTAAAAAAAAAAGCAAGAAAAATGCTCTCACCTGATCTTCCTCTTCACCTGGGAAAATTGTGTCTGGCCTTAGGAACATGGCATTATGTACAGCTCATTGAATGAGTACTGATCTAAAGCCCTTTTTTGTATTTAACAGATTTCTGTGTAGAAATCATTGGAGGAAAAGAAGTGGTTGCTCACTCAAAGCCATACATGGCCCTAATTCTGGGACAAGAAACCTGTTCTGGGACTTTGATTGGGAACAAGTGGGTATTGACTGCAGCTCATTGTTCCGTGTAAGTGCTCTGATTTTTAAAAACATTTGTGAAGATAATGCTAAGCTAAGATCAGAGCAGCAAAAAAAGTGCTTTTTACCCCACAAAAACCACAGGAGTTGGTGTACATTTTCACAGCCCTTGGATTTGGAAGACTTTGCCATACCCACCCCAAACCAAAACCCCATTGCCACCCAATTCCATTGCCACCCAAGTCCACCTAATTCCATTGCCACCCAATTCCAACTCACAGCGACTCCACGTGTCAAGAGCAGAACTGCTCCAGAAGTTTTCTTGCCTATAGTCTTCATGTAAGTAGATTGTCAAGAGTTTCTTCTTTGGTGCTTTTATGTAGATTAGAACTCAGAACTTTTTCTTTTAGAAGTAGAGCATGAAGATTGTCAAGAGTTTCTTCTTTGGTGCTTTTATGTAGATTAGAACTCAGAACTTTTTCTTTTAGAAGTAGAGCATGAAGTAGTTTCATCTTAGGAGGGCATTTTTTCCTTAACTCAGTGTGGGGTTGGTTAAATCTAGATTCAGCCCCTCAATGTCATGAAATTGAGTCCTCCAATGGGAAATCAACTTCTCAGAATTTTACTGTTTAAGGTAAGTTAGTTGTTCTCTTTCACAACAATCAGTCCTTTACAACTTTGATATTGCCCAGATGTCCTTTTATCTTCCACAGCCAGACTACAGACAATTTTGTTTTTCAGTAATCGGCAGTATTATTTGCTATCATAGCCAAAGGGAAACAGTCCTAAACCCCAACAAAGCTCTCAAGACAATGCTTAACTGCAATGAAATTCAATATTCTGGGTGTCAATGAACTTCATTTGTCAGAAATACCCTGGCAATGAGGATGACATTTATAAACATCTTCCCTTATGATTCTTTGTCATACACATAGTGTTGAGTTTGTTATTCTGTTAGGTTCTAGTTTGCTATCTATTTTGGGTTTGTGGGTTATTGTGTGGTATTTCCCCCCTTTTATTTTTATTTTGATCTCCAAAGAGGTAGCTTCACAAAAACACATTTACCAATGGTACAATGAAGTTGATCAGCACATAATATGTTAACTTCCTGGCTAAAATGGAAAAACAAGTGGTGGTGTGTCTATTTCAGGGGCGTAAAATCCCAGGTCATTCTTGGAGCTCATTCAATAAGCAATGAGATGGAGACAGAAAGACAAATAATGTACATTAAGAAAGAGATTCCCTACCCATGCTATGACCCAGAGACGCGAGAAGGTGATCTGAAACTTCTCAAGGTATGTATGCTGGTGCTCTGAAAAACCACAAGATTCCTCACAAACTGGTCAGATAATTGCAAACCTTTCCTTGGTGACTCCATAGCTTCAGGCTGAAGTAAGTGGATACCCAAGAGATGGCCTAGAATATAAACAGAAATGTAGGTCGTTTAATGCGCTCTTTTTTATTTAATTTATACATGTCTCTCTCCACAGTTGAGAAAAAAAGCAACTATTAATAAAAACGTGAAAATCCTTGAACAGCCTAAAAGTGGAGAGGATGTAAAACCAGGAACAAAGTGTAAAGTAGCCGCATGGGGGAAGTCTCTCAAAATTAAGCATGGCCAAGCAGGTACTCTGCGAGAAATCAATGTCACTGTCATAGACAGAAAAACCTGCAATGATGACAAGCACTATGCTTATAATCCCATAATTAGCATCAATATGATCTGTGCTGGAAACCCCAAAGGTGGAAAAGAGTCATGTGATGTAAGTGAACTAAGATGTGATGTTCTTCCTGCTGGATTCAGTTATGTAAATACAGAAAATGTAATGCAATATTCTGTCTCTCTGGTCATGGTTTTGGTTTCTACAGGATCCTAGTATTTATTTAATAAATGAATGAATAGATAGATAGATAGATAGATAGATAGATAGATAGATTAAATGAATGAAAGAATGAATAAATACATACATACATACATACATACATACATACATTTTAAAAAAAAAAGAAATTGTTAGCCCTATCAAACAAATATACCTCAAGGTTGGGCTTAACGATGTCAGACTGAGAATGGCACAGGGTTCAGATCTGTTGTTCCCTGAGGACTATTGGTAGTATTCAACTTGACTGCATCTGACAACACCATTGTTGAACCCTCAAAAACAGATTAAGGTCCACAGTGCAAGTGAGTAGCTCATCAAAAATAAGAAGTTCATGGTTAATGCGTAAGTTTCTCACACTGTATCTTCTAGCTTTTGTATTAGAAACCGCTGAGAAGGAGTGTTTCTTTTTTTTTCATTTTTCATGTTCGCTAATGAGTTGTGGGAGGATGTCAAATGTATAATCCAGGAAGAGTGCAAATGGTCATTACAAAGACAGAAGAGAAAAAATAAAGACCAAAATGGATGTCAGAAGAAACTCTGAAGATGGCACTGGAGCACAGAGAAGCCAAAGCACAAGGAAGAATTCAAGATAC